TCTTCCATAACATGAAAAATTATGACGGTCATTAAATTATTCAAAATGCTGACAAATTAAGTAACAACAATAAAATAGGTGTCATCGCTCAGAACAGTGAAAAATTTTATTAATATCAGTTTTGAAGTTTGACTGTTGAAGACAATTTTGGGTTTTTAACTGCTTCATTAGATAAGTTAGTTTCAATGAGTAAGTATGATAATACAGATGAAGAAGATAAAAGTAAATGGTTATTGCGTGAAAACTGGAAAGATAATTTTAGGTTCAGTAGTAAAAATGATGTGATTAAGAGTGAGAAATGTCTAGATTTGTTGACTGATAAAGGTGTTTATCCTTATGACTACATGAATTCATTTGATAAATTTGATGATAAGCAATTACCGAGAAAGGACGATTTTTATAGTCAGTTGAGTGAAGAAGGTAGAAGTGATAACGACTATGAAAGAGCAAAAATTATATGGAAGCATTTCAACATTAAGAATATGGGTGAATACCATGATTTATATTTGAAAACTGATGTATTATTGACTGACATTTTCGAAATTTTTAGAGATGTGTGTATGAAATATTATGGATTGGGCCCTGCTTATCATTACACATTGCCTAACTTTGCTTTTGATGCTATGCTTAAAATGACTGGTGTAGAGATTCATGTAATATATAACCAAGAAATGTATGAAATGACAGAAGCAGGACTTAGAGGAGGGATGTGTATGGTTTCTACTAAAAAAGTTGAAGCAAACAATAAATACATGGGTGAAGAATATGATGAAAGTAAAGAAAGCAGGTATATCAATTATTTAGACGCTTATAATCTTTATGGGCTAAGCATGATACAAAAACTGCCATATAAAAATTTAAAATGGAATGATACATTAAAAGAAGAAAACATTATTAGTCACAAAAATAATAATATTGGATACATTCTAGAAGTGGATTTAAAATATCCTAAAGAATTACACGATTTACACAATGACTATCCAATGGCACCTGAGGTTATGAATGTTAAAGCCGACATGCTGTCATATAAACAAATTGAAATTTATAGAATTTTTAGTATAACAACTAATAAAATTGCTCTTAGTAGTTATGAAAACAAAAATATTGGATAGATAGTATAAACCCACTTGCTTATGGCCATTATAAAATAAATTCTTTGAAAACAACTTAAAGAAATATTGACTTAATATATTAAGATAGAAATGAGTGATACAGAAAGTGCATATAGTGAATATAGTGATATAGAAAGTGTGTATAGTGAATTTAGTGATACTGTCCATGAAGAAATTGATGTTAAAAATATATTGAAACAAAAGTTTATGAATTACAAATGTAAAGACTGTGAGATGCTAAAGTTAACAATTCAACAGGGTTTTATAGATGGTGTTAGTAATAATATGTCAATATATGATATGCAATAATTGCAATAAAATTATAAACAAAATTGATTATATGAATAACGAAGATATTGATAATAGAAATGTTAAAAATATTGATGATGATTTAGAAATGTTTGTGTTTATTGAAATGAATAAGTTCTTTACTAAAGAAGAATTTGGTAATGTAGTAGATAATGGATATGTTGAAGATTCTATTTATAAGTATTATAGAATGGTAAAACGATTATACAATATGTCTTTTGGCATTAAACGTTTAAAATACGAAGCATCGAATAAGAATAACTCTGATTTTGTAAATGAGTTTTTAAATTATCAGTATGAAGCTCACGAACTTAGATACACAGCAAGACATGCAAATTGTGTAATGAAGGTGTTTATAAAAGAAAAAGGAAATAATATTTATAATGAAAAACAGTTGATAAAATAATGAAACGAATTGAAAGAGAATTTTAAAATTAATTAGAATAAAGTTGAACTCATACTATAATAATAACATGTCAAATATTATATGTTATAGTTGTAATATATTTATCGTTTGTAAAGATTGTATTATTATATTTTCTTAATTTGCTTATCTCTTTCAAAGTGTGTTGTTTAGACTTGGTATGCTTCTTCAGTCTTGTCGTGCTTTGGCTGTTTGTTATTTTGTTTGATACTCTTATGATATTTTTGTTGGTATGTTGCTTTGTTTTTTGTTGATGTGTGTTTTTGAGTTTGGGTTCTTTGATGATTTAGAGTGTTGCTGTTTTGTTGGTATGCTTGTTTGAATTATTTAATGTTGTATGCTGTGATTAAATATTTTTGTTGCTGGTTGTGATTATTTATTTTGTTTGCTTGTTGTTCTGGATTTTGTTTTCTGTTTGTTGTGTTGCTGTTGGAAAAAATAGTAGAAAGAATAATTCTTAGAATTCTCCTTTTACTATTCCCCCCCCCCGCTGGCATGTGTCAGCGACGGTAAACCACCCGTGCTGCGGGTATATATAAAATATATATATATATATTATCCCCCCCTAAAACCTAAGTAAGATGCAATCGTTTCATATTTCCTACGAACCGCTTACCCAAATTTGTCCGGGCTACCCCGGCCATAATCCGGAAAATGTAGTGGCTTCATTTTTTCTAGGGACAAATTTCCGAAAAATAGTCTGGAGTGCAATTCTCAAAATATTCGGGATATTTCGGAAAAAATAGTCCGGGTTTTGAACGAAGCCGTTGTGGCTTCCAGATAAAGAGTCGGGGTATATGTCTGCCTGTCCGTAGTCCGTCTTCCGAGTTTCGGCTTTGCTTGCACCCAGGATGTTTTCTGGTCGATCGCGTTTTCGCTTGCGCTTGCAGCAACTACGTATGTGGATGGATCTTTTGAGGCCAACAGCCCGCGGATCCGTTCTCACCTTGCTCAAGCAACCTTTCACTGACTCTTTAGCGTGGCCTTATCGCGACTAGCCCGGCCCTCAGTGCATCTCGCAACCTGTGCTTGGAGAACGGCAGGCTTTTCGCATGCGAAGAGTGCACATTTTTTGATAAATATGTTGGTGCCCCACTTACAAAAAATGTCTTACCGGCGCGGGCTCTACAAGATTTGCTCTATTCTTAGCACACCCACCACGGCCTGGACCTTGCTCCCTAAGAGCTCGGCTCATGCGATGCTTTGGGAAGAGTGCATGAAGCTTCATGAGATCGCGTCTTTGCGGACGCTCTGGTCTCGGTTTCTGGGTTGTTTTTAATGGGTTGGAATATGCTGGAACTCTTTCTCATAATTGTTTTCCCTTTTTTAGCACCCGCCTCAACTTACCCCTAATGGCTGGTTTGGATTGGTGGTTTGGGGATTGAATCCCTACATCATAATGAAGTTAGATGGGAAACCACCTCCTAACCTCCAAGGCACCGATCCAATCCAAACCAACAATTGGGGCAAATTGACGCAGGCCAACCTCTATGAGTTCATGAAATCCAACTGATACTGCGCAGGCCAATCTTTATGAGTTCATGAAATCCAGGGCCCGCTCCTTATAATGCCGAGAGAGCTAGGATAATTCTGACGGAAGCTGGAGGATGCCGCGCTCAGGTGCGCGCAATACCCGAGAACAAGGTTCGAAATATTATGTCTCAGACCACGCAAGCTAGATCGCCAAAAATCTGAGCAATTGAACGACAGAGGCTGTTGACACGCGTCCGTGCTTTGGGAAGAGTGCATAAAGCTTCGTGAGATCGCGTCTTTGCGGACGCTCTGGTCTCGGTTTATGGGTTGTTTTTGATGGGTTGGAATATGCTGGAACTCCTTTCTTGTGATTGCTTTCCCTCTTTTGGCAGTTGCCTCAACGTATCCCTCATTGCTGGTTTGGATTTGTAGTTTGGGGATTGAATCCCTGGATCATAATGAAGTTAAATGGGAAACCACCTCCTAACCTCCAAATCACCGATCCAACCACCAACAATTGGGGCAAACTGACGCAGGCCAACCTCTATGAGTTCATGAAGTCCAGCTGATACTGCGCAGGCCAATCTTTATGAGTTCATGAAATCCAGGGCCCGCTCCTTATAATGCCGAGAGAGCTAGGATAATTCTGACGGAAGCTGGAGGATGCCGCGCTCAGGTGCGCGCAATACCCGAGAACAAGGTTCGAAATATTATGTCTCAGACCACGCAAGCTAGATCGCCAAAAATCTGAGCAATTGAACGACAGAGGCTGTTGACACGCGTCCGTGCTTTGGGAAGAGTGCCTGAAGCTTCGTGAGATCGCGTCTTTGCGGACGCTGCGGTCTCGGTTTGTGGGTTGTTTTTGATGGGTTGGAATATGCTGGAACTCTTTCTTATGATTGCTTTCCCTTTTTTGGCAGTCGCTTCAACGTATCCCTCATTGCTGGTTTGGATTGGTGGTTTGCGGATTGAACCCCTAGATCATACTGAAATTAAATAGGAAACCACACCCCAACCTCCAAAACACCGATCCAAACTACTAATCCAAACCAAGAGCAATTTAGCGACAGAGGCTATTGACGGACATGAAGCCCGAAAACCTCCTAATCTGCCTCGGCCCGGCTTTCGGATGCGTTATATGGACCTGTTTTGGCTCAAAGGCTTACGGAAGAATAATAAACAATCTTCCCTGCCATAGGCTTCATTTCGCACGCTGCTAGAAAGCAGCGGGCCCCCTCTAGCATTATTAATAAAACAATAAATAAAAGCATAAATTAATATAGTATATTTTATATTTTAAAAACGGTTTAGTAAATATATTATATAAATACAAAATACAATAATAGATAAATATAAATTAATAAATATAGATTAATAAAGATATATATATTAATCAATATATAATACTAAGTATATTATTAAGTATAGATTAACTAATATATATTAATAAATATATATTAATAAAGATATATATATATATATATTTGTTTCTTATTTTTATGAATTGTGTTTAATATATATATAATATAATAAAATATACTAAATTATGAAAAATAAATCAATATATTTATTATATAGATATATATAAAAATCAATGTTAAAATTCATTTATATATTTCATTATTCATATATATATAAATTCAATTAACGAAATAAATACATTCGTGTTTTCGAAATAGTATTTATATATATATAATGATAATCAATTTGAAGAAAATGTTGCATGGTTGCTTGCAAATTTGTTCCAATTGAGATATTAAACCCGAATCTAGAATTTGACAGTGATTGATTTGAAGGGAAAATTGCTGCGTCCTGTCCTTCCATCCATGAAGGTAGGATTCGGCACTGCGCCGGGAGATGTGAGGCATGGTCTCGCCCATTCGTACTGGATCATACTCCATCCCGCTGGCTGCAAGTGTGCTCATCCTTTCCTTTACTTGCTCCAGATCCTTCTTCTTCATGGAAGATGTGGAAGATGTTGCTTCTTGGATTGCTAGAGCCTTGCTCATGAAAATTCCAGCCTCCTCTGGCTTCCCAAGCTCCTGCAATACCTGCGCCATTTGATCACAAGTGTCTGCAGTGTCCTTGTGCGCAAAGCCGGCGGATTTTTCGCGAGCGTGCAGCGCCTTCCGGAAGTAGGCCAGCGCCTTTCTCGGAAAACCCGCCCTTCGATTTAGTAGACCGAAGTGGTGCATGGCTTCTCCGAACTCTTGGCTGGCAGGTCCGAACAGCTCCTCTCGAATACAGGCCGATCGATCAAGCCAGTACTTTGCCTGACTCAAATCACCACGCTCTGCATAGATATCTGCTAGCGTCTGCATTGAAGTTGCCAGCCTTGGCGCAAAGCACCCGCGAATATCCACACCGACATCTTCAATGCAAATCTCTGAATCTTCTTCCTCTCTGCTAGCATCTTCCTTTTTCTCCGTCGGCATTTTGATCTTGGACTTCAGCTTTGTGAAGAGGCTCCGGGCAAAAGACAGCTTCGCCTCTTTCGCGTCCCCCTTCACCGTGTGCATCGCCTCCCCTACATCCCCTACATCCGGAGCGTCTTCGGCGTCCGCCTCTGACTCTCCCGCAACGTCAACCGCCTCTTCTGCAACCTCTGTCAGCCCTCGGGCAGCTCCGCCCTTCCGTGCCCGGCTTTGGATGCGCCTTGTGCGCTCCGACTTCTTCCCCTTCAAATCCACAGGGTCCTCGTCCGAGTCATCCAACCGCGCGGCCACATCCTGGCCATTCGAGAACCAACAGGTGTAGTGAGTCTTTGAACTCAGGATTAGTTTTGTAGGCAAAATTGACTTCACGGTTTCAATCTAAAGCTAGACGTATCTTTCGAACGTTATCCGTTTTACGTTTATGCTGTTATTCTCTTCACTGCGCTTGCAACCATTGTCTGGAGAGGCTACACATACGATCCCCCTGAGCCTAGCGCGTACGTTCCGCGTATCGCGCTGCATCGGAATCTTCCGCAAGTATATTATCAACTCGAAAATGCTAAAACAACTGCAAGCAAATGATGATGCGTCCATAACAATGTCAGGGGGCACGCCCTGCCGCCCGGGAAGGTGAGAGCCAACGCAAAAGAACCTTCAACGCCAGGGTGCACAGCAATGGGCGTGTGCATCTGTGTGTGTGTGCGTGCGCCTGTGAATGTTGGTTCAATGCTCTAGTCATCGGTATGCGCACGCCAACGTACGCACATGCTGGTCACGCGGGCCCCTGCTGTGCACAAAGGCGTGCGCCAATGCGCACACAAACCTACATACATACATACATACATATATATATATATATATCATACATACATATATACATACATACGTGCGTACATACTTGCACACAAAACAAGACAACACGATAGAAACCAATACAATAAAATACTGACTATACTATATACTACACTATATGCTATAGACTATGCTAAACATGCATACATGCATACATACATTGCATTATGCAAACTTGTTTACATAACATTACATTACGTTACATTAAATGAAATGACATTGCATTACGTTTCCTTGCAGTACATAAATACATACATGAATACAGCACATACAGTACATACATACATACATACATACATGCATACATGCATACATACATACCATTCTGTTACATTACATTGCATCACATTACACTACACTACATTACGTTACATTACATTGCGTTACATACATACATGCATACATTACACACATACATATATGCATGCATACATACATATACACATGCACTACATATGTACATACATACATAAATACATACATACATACCTACATGAACACAACCATATGTTACGTTACGTCACGTTACGCTACGTTACCTTACGTTACGTTACATACATTCATACACTTACATTACATTCCATTACATTACATTGCATTACGTTACATGACATTACGGCACATTACATTACATTACACACATACACACACATACATACATACATACATACATACATACATGCATCACTTTTTTAACAAACCTATTTACATACATACCTACCTACATACATACAGACATAGATGCATAACATACATTACATACATTACATGCATTACATACATTACATACATTACATACATTACACACATACATACATACATACATACATACATACATACATACATACATTACATACATACATTACATGCATACATTAGATACATTACATACACTACGTACATTCCATACATTACAACATACATACATACATTACCTTACATATGTTGCATGCATTACATACGTTGCATACATTGCATACATTACATACATTACATACATTACATACGTTACATACGTTACATACGTTACATACGTTATATACGTTACACACGTTACATACATACATACATACATTACATACATTACATGCTTACATGCATAGGACTACATAACATAACATAACGTTACATTACATTGCATTGCATTGCAGTACTCTACATTACATTACATTACATACATACATGCATGCATACATACATTACACACACATACGTGCATACATACATACATACATACAGACAGACATACAGACAGACATACATACACACATACATACAGTACATACATTACCTACATTACATACATTATATACATCCATTGCATCACATCACATCACATTACATTACATTACATTACATGACGTTGCATCACATCACATCACATCACACTACTTTATGTTTCGTTACATTACATTACATACATATACACATGCAGACGTGAACATGCGTATTGACATGTTCGTGCCACGCATGCTTCTGCCACATGTGCGCATGCGTGCGGGTGTAGCAAGCACTTGGTGACATGTGCGTTCCTGCCCTCTAGCTATGTCTGCGCTTTCCGTGAACCCAAAAGAGCACTGATGCCATGTATGTGTGTGTGTGTGTGACTGCGTGTCCACGTGAACCCCTGCAGTAGCATCTTGGTGACCATAAAGGTGCACTAGAACGCCCAGTGGCGGAACCAAAGCAGGAACCTGGAAAAGCTGAGCGTCCTCTGCATTCAACTGGGTGTGGATCTTCAAGGCCTGCAGCAAGGGTGCTATGGCCTGTTCTCTTTGCTGCCTCACCATGACTAAACCGATCTGGTGGAGCGCGTCGGCGGTGAGGGCGTGCTGCTGCCCGAAGATCCTCTCCCGGTCCTAGCCGCTGTGCTGGCCACGAAGCAAGCTTCAGCAACCAAAAGATTGGCTGTCGAGCGCCCAGTGGTAGCCTTTCGTTCAAAGGTAGCACTGACGGCTTCTCCCCTGCAGCATTGGGGACACCTGAAACACCAATAGACCAGTTGCCTAAAGGCCGGCACTGGGACGACCAGGTCGTGGCGTACACAGAGGTGCACCAGAACAATCCGAGAATCAGAGCATGGGGGAACCCTGAGTACAAAGAACAACACTCAGAGCTTCAGCCAAGGAAGCCCTGCATCCCCGCCCCCCCCCCCACTTTGCCTCCGACACACCCAAGCCCAAAAAACCCTGTCTAAGTCAGACTATGTCTGTTGATTCCAAGAGCGGCCCAAACTAAAGCTGAACATTAAAAAACCGCGCACCTTGCAATAAGGCTTATGAACAGCTGTCAAAGATGTTGCTCCCCGTTGGCAGAAACCATTTCGGGCGGCAAGGCAAGAGCAACCAATGCAAAAGAGCGCAATGGCATCCAATGCTATTGGCCACGGCTGACGCACTATTTCTTGACATTGACCTGCACCTGCAGCATCACTATGACCAGCCTGCCCGTCATATCACAAAAAGCCTAAATGTTGCTGCCATGTGGGAATCGCTGCCCGGTGCTTGCGAAAACAAAAGGGGCCCCGCACAGAAAAAAATAGCTTTCCTGTTGTCATGTTCTCCGGACCCTGTTTTTTCAAGGTGTGAGGGCCGGGTGCCGTCCTTGTATGCTGCCTTGAGGAGTTTGAAAGCTTTCTCCAGCTCCCCGTTGTTGGCACAGGCCACCCCCAGCGCTGCCTTGCTGGCGGCAGCCTGGGCGCTCCGCTTGCCCAGCTGCTCCCGCAGGCTGAGGGCGGCTTGGAGATAAAGTTTCGCTTCCGAGGCCATGCCCATGTGTAAATGGGCCTGGCCCAGCTGATGCAGGGAGGCCGCATATGCTAGGGTCCGCTTTCCCAGCTTCTCCTCCCGAATCGCAGCTGCCTGGGACAAGTAGACCAAAGCCTGCGGTCCCGTGTGGGCGTTCTGCTGGCACATCATGACAGAAGCAAGCTCGTGCAAGGTCTCCGCAAAATGAATGCTGTCCTCACCAAGGTGATCCCTTCGAATGGCTGCCGCCTTGCCCAGCAAAAGCACCGACTCTTCATGCCGGTGCGGCATGCGAGCATACAAGCAGCCAAGCGCATGTGCAGAGCAAGCAACTTCTGGACTCCCAGGATCACTTGCCAATCGCGCCAGCAATGCGTTTGCAAAGTTCCGGCGCGCTCCTTGACGGTCACCTGACACAAAGCACACAGAGCCCAGAAGCTGCGCAGCCGTGGCAACTTCCTGGGACTCTTGTCCGAAGAGCTCAGTGCGAATTGTGACGCACTGCTGCAGCCGCTCAGTTGCCTCCTCGAACATGCCTCTGGCGTCCTGCTGAGGGTCTAACACAACATGACGGACTCGCAAAAAAGTGTTGGGTCATACCTATGCAACGTTTTAACGAGCAACTTTGAGCTGCCAACCTAGTTTTTAGGCGCAGGCTTCCTTCTGTTCTTGGGCTGTGCGCAGGAAAATCAGACTGGAGTGAAAGAGCTGCGTCGCCACGGCCGCGGACTTAAATCCAAAGAGCTCCTCAGTGGCCTTCATTGCCAGCTCCATGGCCTCCAAGGCCTCGGCGTTGCTCCCAGCCCTAGCGCAAACGCTTGCAAAAATATTAAGCGTGGAGAAAAGATCTGGATCTGCGGGGTCCAGAATCTGCTTCTTGTACTGCAAGGACGCCAGCAAGTGCTCCCTTGCTCTTTGCAAATCTTCGCACTTGTCGTGGATTTCTGCGATGACTTCATGACTTCGAGCGACTTGCAGCTCCAACTGGTGCCTTGCCCCCACGTCACACGCCATGCTGTCAATTTCCGGCATCGTGCTCAGGATTGCTTGCTGTCGAAGCAAGCGCTCCTTGAAGGAGCACAATGCAAACCTGTAGTTCGCTTCCACTGGGTTTTCTTGCTTCTTGTCCATCTGGCGAATCTGAAACCTGTTGGCCTTGACCAGGAAGCAGAACCCGGTCAAGTACAGGACGTTCAGCACATCATCGTGCAGGTGGCCCTGGGCCTCACGCTTCTCCAAGAGCACGCTGAGCTGTTGCAAGGCAGCGTCTGTGTCCCCCAGCTGCATGTAGGCGACGCACATGTTGGTCATCGCCGTCATCACCCGCTCGTCGCTCTCGTTGGCGTTGCGCCGCAAGATTCGCAGCGCGTCCCGCAGCCGCTGAAGGGCTGACATTAGGTCCCCGCGCTGCAGCAAGCAGCAGCCCAGGTTGGAGAGCACCACGCCCTCAGGGCCCAGTTGTCAAGGGTTGGTCAAATTTCATATTTTTATCTCACTGTTTCATTCCCCGCACATGTGAAAGGTCAGTGCATTCTGTTGTGGTTTTGGGCAGTGCCCTCGCTTCACTGTCATTCTCTGCTTTACGGCGCAGATCTGTTGGCGCGCTGCGAAGTGAAAGGCTAAATGTGCATCACAGTTCAAAAGAAAAAAACCGTCACACCAAAACGAAGCCACCCCACCAACCTGTAAGGCCCCTTTCAGGAAATGCTCAGAAACTGTCTGACATTGCATTCAAAAATCTGCAGAAAGACGGGACCCAGCCTTCTGAGGAGGCTCCCGGTCCATGTTGTTCAGCCGCGTTTTCTTGGCCTTCAAAGTGGAAGTCAGCTCTGGCAAGGACACCTTGCCGTCATTGGCCACGCTGTCCAGCATTGAGAAAACCCTGTCTGGGTCCCCCGAATATTCCAGGCGCAGCAGGGCCTGCAGCTCATTTTAGACGCGCAATGAAACACAAAAACAAAAACAAAAAACGGTCTTGACACACGGGGCCTCTACGAATTTGTTGTGTCCCAGCGCCGATCGCCACTCTCCTTTCACCAGGTCTGTGTAGAGCAGCTCCTCGCTGCCCCCATACTTCTCAGCGACGAAGGCCTTCAGCACCGCGAGCTCCGCGGAGGCTGACTTCTTCTTCTCCGAAGTCAGCTGCAACGCCTGGTCAAAGTAGCCCGCCGCGGTGTGGTAGTCACCCAACAAATACATCTCCACACCCAGGTTGTTGGCGTTCTCCGCCTCAAACAAGGCTTTGCCGATGGTCGCCTTGTGCTTCTTGAAGGCGGAGATGATGCTGTCGTCCTGCGGATTCAACTTTCCGGACTTCTTCAATTTCAGCAGCTTCTCGTCACCAATTTCGAGGACCTTGGGGTCCGCTGTGAGGCCCAAGCTTTCCGCCACATCATCAATTTCCAGCTGAAGGGCATCCTCCAAATTAGTGTCAGCCTTGCGCCTGAGCTTCAGGCCCTTCAAGCGCTTCAGGGCGCCTCTTTGAGTCCCCTCTGCTTTGGCCAGATTCGGGCCAGCCTTGAGTTTGGAGATCAGCTCAGCCCTCCTAGAGCCCCTCTGGGCCTTGGAGCCCCCAGACCGCGCAGACTGTGCACTGGTACTGAGCTGTGCCCGCGCGCTGGCATCGGCCCGCGCCGAGGCTGGGCTTGGCTCGTGACTCAGGGCACGAGCGTGGGCCATGGAAAGTGAACATGCTGCGAGCTGTGACACGGTTCCTACACGTTGGAAGGAACATCCTTGTGACTTGCCGAACCATCAGGGACACGTGAATCTTGCTTGCAATCACCAGGCTTGTGAAATGACGCTGCATGCCTTGCGCTGTCATTGGCGGCGTGGGGCTCTCAGGAAGCTTTGTTCCTTTCCTTCTTCCAGCTTGGTCCGGAAACGGCAAGTTGCAGCTCAAAGCGTTTGGGAGCCGTCGGACCAAGTGAGTGTCCAGGCAACCCTGGCAAGTGCAACGCCCTAAAACTTGGCAAAGGAGGGCTACCGAAACCAGTTTGCATGGTTGGTCCTGCTTTGCTTCAAAATGTTTTGCTTGACAGCCAAGACTTTGCCGTGCTGAAAGTTGTGTGCAAGGATACATGTTTTTTTGTAGATATGCTTCGATCCATATTTCATTTTTCCACCCTGAGTGCTTATGGGGCCGCAGCACCAGTCCTAGACTCCGACTCAAATGGGTGCAGAGCAAAGCAAACTGGCAACACGTGCGCCTCAGAGCGAAGGGCAACCCATCAGGTCCACATGCCAAGGCTTTCAAAACGTACTCCCTTGTCCCTCATAGAAACATTGAAATGGGTGCTTGCGGGACAACGGGCAGCCAACATCAATGAAAGCAAGCGTGCCAGTGCGGCTCAACTGCTTTTCTATGATGTCTGACAGTCAGCGATTTGTGTAGACTAGCGAGGCAGATTTGTGCCATTCCTTCCTGCAGCTACCCGACTCTTGCAGTGGAGTGCAATGACATGTGCGAACATTTCGAACAAAGGACGTGGCAATTCCACGTTTTGCATACGCCGAGCTCACCTTCAACGTCCCTACAACTACATGCCCAGCCCTTCCTATCCGAGGGAGGCCTAGGCTGCTCTCAGTTCCGTTGCCTGTGGCTGGCCCCTGTGGTTCTTGAAGATATTGAAGGTCACGGCATCGCCCTGCCCAAAATGCCGCTTCTGACTTGCTTGGAGGAACACATCCATGCCGTTGAATCTTTGTTTCAGCTCCTCATTGCCGATGAAGCCATAGCCCTTGTCCTGTCAGCTTGCCCCAAGTGCCCTGAGTACCCCAGGTGCCCCTGCAGAAAATGCGGCCGATGTGGTGACACAAAGGTATAGTGATTACAGCCACTCAAGTCAGTAATCAGTACCGCAGTATAAGCATGGTCAGTATAGCCAGTAAAACCAGCGGAGAGGGAAAGAGAGAAAGACAGAGAGACAGAGAGAAAGCGAAAGCAAAACAGAGAAGAGAGGAACAGAGAGAAAAAGCGAGAGAGTAAAAAAGAGAAAAAGAGAAAGAACGAAAAAAACAAGGAAAAAAAAACAGAAAGAGAGAAAAAAGAGAAAGAGAGAAAGACAGAAAGAGAGAAGGAGAGAAGGAGAGAAGGAGAGAAGGAGAGAAAGATAGAAAGAGAGGAGAGAAGGAGAGAAGGAGAGAAGGAGAGAAGGAGAGGAGGAGAGAAAGAGAGAAGGAGAGAAGGAGAGAAGGAGAGAAGGAGAGAAGGAGAGAAGGAGAGAAGGAGAGAAGGAGAGAGAGAGAGAAAGAGAGAAAGAGAGAAAGAGAGAAAGAGAGAAAGAGAGAAAGAGAGAAAGAGAGAAAGACAGAAAGAGAGAAAGAGAGAAAGAGAGAAAGAGAGAAAGAGAGAAAGAGCGAAAGAGAGAAAGAGAGAAAGAGAGAACGAGGGAAAGAGAAAAAAGAGAGAAGGACAGAAAGAGAAAAAGAGAGAAAGAAGAGAAAGAGAGAAAGAGAGAAGAAAGACAGAAAGAGAGAAGGAGAGAAGAGAGAAAGACAGAAAGAGAGAAAGAGAGAAAGAGAGAAAGAGAGAAAGAGAGAAAGACAGAAGGACAGAAAGACAGAAAGAGAGAAAGAGAGAAAGAGAGAAAGAGAGAAAGAGAGAAAGAGAGAAAGAGAGAAAGAGAGAAAGAGTGAAAGAGAGAAAGAGAGAAAGAGAGAAAGAGAGAAAGAGAGAAAGAGAGAAAGAGAGAAAGAGAGAAAGAGAGAAAGAGAGAAAGAGAGAAAGACAGAAAGAGAGAAAGAGAGAAAGACAGAAGGACAGAAGGACAGAAAGGCAGAAAGAGAGAAAGAGAGAAAGGAAAGTAGCAAAGAGACAAAGGGAGAAAGGGAGAAAGGGACAGAGGAAAAGAAGGGGAATAGAAGCGCGTTCGAAACTATACTTCCCACATGTTAAACTTCAGCCCCCCGGCTCTGCAGGACTCTACTGGTCGCAGAACAGTTGTTTGGCTGCGCAATGGCCCCGGCCTCGAACCACATCGTGATGCGACCTTCAAATCGCCTGTCTGTGATTCCGGGCACGTTCTCCATCCCCAGCGGCCGGTAACTTGGATGGCTCATGTCACTCGAAGGGCCGGGCGGTAGGTCATCCTCCGCACCCTTCTTCTTTTTCTTTTTCTTGCCTTTCTTCTCATCACCTTCCCCTAACATGGAGCCCATCATGGCACCCATCATCATCATCTGCATCTGCATCTGCATCTGCAGCATAACCTGTTCCTGCATGTCATCGCCATCTCCCTTGAGGCCACTCTTGCCAGGTGGGCTTGGCGGTGGAAGCACTGATGGATGCGGATGATGCTCTGGGCCCGCTTTTGGATGCCTCTCTCGATGCTCCAGAGGGGGGCCGGAAGACCCAGGGCCACTGGGGAGTCCTGGCATGCTGGGCATGCCTGGCATTCCACTGCACATGCTGCCCGTGCTGCCGCCCATTCCACCGCCCATTCCACAGCCTGCACCCGTTCCGCATGGCATTGACTTCGGCATGTCCTTCCCGAATGGCATGCTCTTCACCTTGGCTGGGCGGTTCTCTCGCACTCATTTTACCCCATAAGTTGGCTCTGCCATCTTCAGTGCGCCTGAAATCGCGGAGCATGTGCGTGGATGTGCGTGTGTGCATGTGCGTGTGCGTGGTTGTGTGGGTGTGTGGCTGTGTGGGGTGGGTGTGTGGGTGTGGGTGTGGGGGGACTGTGAGTGTCTGTGTGTGGTGCGGGTGTGTGTGTGTGTCGTGTGGGTGAGTGTGGGTGTCGGTGGGTGTGGGCGAGGGTGGGTTTGGTGTGTGGCTAGGTGGGTTTGTTTGTGGGGGTGTGTGGATGTGCCAGTGTGTGTGTGTGTGGTGTGTGAGTGTGTGGTGTGTGTGTGTGTGCCTGTGTGTGTGCGCCTGCGTGTGCGTGGGGTGTGCGTGTGCGCGTGTGCGCGTGCGCGCGTGCGCGTGTGCGACTGTGCGCCTGCGCGCGTGTGCGCCTGTGCGCGTGGGGGCGTGCGGGCGGGCGTGCGTGCGTGCGTGCGTGGGTGGGTGAGTGGGTCGGTGGGTGGGTGGGTGGGTGGGTGCGTGTGTGTTTGTGTGTCTGTGTGTGCAGTGTGTGGGTGTGTGTGGGGGCGGGTGGATATGCCAGTGTCTGTGTGTGGGTGCGAGGCTGCACGCCTGCGTGGGCGCGTGGGTGCGTGGGTGCGTGGGCGCGTGCGTGCGTGCGTGCATGGGTGTGTGTGTGTGTGTGGGTGTGTGTGTGTG